ACTATAAAGACTTAATCTAGCTTCAACGATTTTCAATCTTAGGTTTTTGTTTGTTTGTTTGCTTTCAAGACAGGAAGCTTTCCCTGACCTCACCCACCCAGTCTGGGTTAGGTAGTGCTACTAAATGCTCTCATGGCAGCCTGTATTTATGCCCATCATCGCACTTATCCCACCAGATGGTAATTGCCTGGCTTTTGTTGTTATTGTTGTTGTTTATTTGTTTCCCCAACCAGAAAGGAAACCCTGTGAGGCCAAGGATCCTGTCTGCAGCACCTAGAACAGTGCCTGGAATATAGTAGGTACTGAAAAGTATGTTTAGGATAGATAAATGAATATAGTAAAGCCTTGCAAATGCTAGAAATGTTATTGGTCCCTAAAAGACTATGCATTTGATGTTGTCACCTTGATCCTGACAGCAGCAGCTGCATCAGTAGCAAATAACGACCAAGAGAGCCAGAAGGAAATGCAGGATCCCCAGAAACCACTCACACAATGTCTGGACTCCCCGGGAGCTGAGAAAGCCCCTCTGCATTTTAAGATGCCTGAATGGATCAGCCTGGAGTGCTCCAAAACTCAAGGTTACACTTCTCAGAATCTTCTGTGGCATGAATTTGTGAAGCCACCAAGGAGATAGGAGTATTGATCTGCTGCAGCAGTGGGAATGAATGTGTATTGTCACTTGCTGTCCTCAGGTGTGGCCCAAAGGTGCACTATTGTAAAGGTGAGGTCTCAGGCTTAAACCTGACCACTCTGTGAGGTGTCCCCTCAGCTCCTCCAGGCACCCTTCTGCCGTGGTGACTTGGAGCCAGACTGAAAGCAACCCACATTGGGGATCTAATCAGAGGAGGCAGAGCTTGTTTGCTCTGAACCACCCCTTGGGAGGTTAGCCGTCAGGCGTTACACTTATCTGCTCAAGTCTTGGAATAAACAAAAGGGAGGAAACTCATAAGACTGGGATCAAAAAAAGAAAAGCTGAGCCGATTCTTTACTGGGTCGTCAACGCATCTGATCAGAAAAAAATCAGAGGCTCATCCAAAATGAGGTTGGGGCTGAAAGAAAACAACTCAAGGACTTGTCGGCCGGGTGGAGTGGCGGGGCTCTGATTTGGTTTTGGGGGTCAGGAGGGCCACAGAGCCTCTGAGTCATTATTTAATACCACGGAGGAGGTTCAGGGGGCTGGGGATGTCACTGGTCACTCATTCAAGAGGGTTGTGTAGTCTGGGGAGAAGCGTGTACTGGTGTTTATACTGCTTCGGGTTCCTTTAGGAACTTCACCGTCTGATTACCAGCAGGGCTGAGAAGCAGACTCGTGGCCTTGCTCAGTAGACATGCAAAGCTGAGATAAATGCGGAGCGTTGTCTCTGAAAGCCCTTTATCTGAAGTGCTGCTCCTAGAGAAGGTGAGATACCAAAACCCGCTCTCAGTGTGGAATGACCCACATGCCTCCCGTTCTTCAGGCATGAGTGGGATGTTCCTTTCTCATTGAAATGATTCCAAAAGAGCAGTTTCTCATAATCTCTGATTCTGGAGACCAGTCTTGTCAGCACCAAGTCCTTAAAGTTAATTAACAAAAGCAGTTTTTACAGGTCTTTCTTCCAACCTGGTAAAGACTCAGGGGAGGAACTTCCCTGGGGGTCCAGTGGGTAAGGCTCCGCGTTCGCAGTGCAGGGGGCCTGGGATAGATACCTGGTCAGGGAACTAGATTCTGTAGGCCACAACTAAGAGTTCGCATGCTGCAACTAAAGATCCTGCAGGCCGCAATTAAGACCCTGCCCAGCCAAATAAGTAAATATTTAAAAAAAGAAGACTGGGGAAAAGACTGTTACCCATTAGAGAGGTTCTCAGAAATGCAAAATACCCCCACTTGAAAACAGAGCCATCTGCTGTTGAGCGTGGACTTTGTTTTCAGTCCTTGGTTTTTAAAATTTTTAAAATTTATTTATTTTTGGCTGCATTGGGCCTTTGTTGCCACACCCGGGCTTTTCTCTAGTCGTGGTGCGTGGGCTTCTCATTGCGGTGGCTTCTCTTGTTGCGGAGCACGGGCTCTAGGCGTGCGGGCTCAGTAGTTGTGGTGCACGGGCTTAGTTGCTCTGCAGCATGTGAGATCTTCCTGGACCAGGGCTCAAACCTGTGTCCCCTGCATTGGCATGCGGATTCTTAACCACTGTGCCACCAGGGAAGTCCACACAAGGACTTTTAAGTTAGTGGATCTTAATAACATCCTTGGCGTGTTAATTGAGGAGCCTCCTGTTTGTTCTGTTAGCAGCAAAGCCAAGAGGTTCCCGAACTTGTTTCCTGGAGCTTCATGGGAAGGTAGGAAGGTGGGAAGTCGCAATCAGAGAAATGTCCTCTTCAGCTAGCCCCAGGGACTGCGGAGAGGGCAGGGGTGCTGGTTTGGGAGATGACAGCAGAGGTACCTCAGGGACGTGCTTCAAAGAGAACAGAGAGGAAGAACAGAGCAGGCTAAACTAGAGAAAGGCTGAGCAAGCTTTCCTGGTGTACCCACACTTGACTCTGGGGCTCGTAACACTGCAACTGGCACATCATTGTTTAATAAATGAATGATTGAATTCATATAGTTTGGGGACTAGGAAGTTTATCAAGTCCAACCTTTGCTTACCCCATGCGTGGGTTTGCCATGTATCTGTTTCCTAGTCTCTGGACCTTTTGGTTGCAAAGAATGTACTGCAATTCAATATAATTTTATTTAAAAACGTTTCATTCACAACACCTTTTTGTCATGTGTGTGTTCAATGACTAATATTCAAAGAGCCACAGTTTTTAGTTATTCGTTATCGTTAAATAGGTGGGGACCACTTCTTTCCAGCTCAGCTACCCTTCCCAACCTCACAGGGCAGCTCCTTCCACAACTGGGCTGTTGCAGCCGTTGGTGAATATCCCTGCCTCGTTTAAGATTCATCCTTTTTCTCGGATTTCCATTCTCTTTGTACTGTTTTTGCCCTCAGGAGACCTTGCAGAGGGAAGGGCTAGGATTAAAATTACCTCTTGTATAAATCTAATTAATTCTAGATATGCTAAGTTTGTGTATTTCTATTTAAAACTTATTTTGTCCTCCTCTTTGTAGATCTCCTAATTGGAAGAGGGAAAATCCTTTTAAGTAGAAATTCAGCAATAGGGACTCATTGTTTTATAACCCTAGGGGTAGGCACTGTCTCTCTCTCTTCGCCCCAAGCTCCCAGTGGAGCGTGCAGTCTGCATTGCCTGCCTGCTCATATATTTTCTGTTGGCTTGTCAGTCCTGCCCTCTGTGCTGTAAGGACAGGGAGTCCAACCTGGAGTGGGCATTGAGGTCTACAATGCGATGAATTCTTGGTGTCCCAGGAAGCATGGAGCCTGTGGTTTGAGGGCATCCCAGAGCCCCACCAGGGGCCTCTCAAGTAGGAGGCTCCTATGTGGGAAGAACCTCCTCCACCATTCCTGCAATGAGCCTGTTTGTTGGACCAAAGTGCAGACTCACATTCCCACCTCCTGCAGCATTGTTTCCTCAGATCTCAGAACCATTGCTCAATCCGGAGCTGGGCCTCTGGGCACCCAGGCTATCATTTCTCCCACAGCCTACAGGAATTGGTAGGGACGTGAAGGCTACCAGCCCTACTTGTACTCATCTTCACAATGAAGGGTGTACTTTCTTCTCACATTGATGTGCAGTTTGCATACAATGGGTCATTCTGAGTAGACTTGTGATTCACGACCTCCCCAGGGACCCTCACCAATGCCAACAAACATTCCAGTGCCAGGTGCTGGGCTAAGGCAAGGAGGGGAAAGGTGAATAGTCCCTCTCCTGTCTGGAAGCTCCTGTCTGGGATCTTCCAGACAGGAGAGATGATGATTAGAGTAAATGTCAGCACTATCATATATTTGTATTTGAAAGTCCAAAATATTGTGGGGTCACATCAGCAGCTCTGTAGGAGCTAGAGAAGGAGCTGAGAGGAGGTGATAAATAAAAGGCTCAGGGAGATTGAGTCACTTCAGTCTTACACTGCTAGTGAACAGAAGAGTTGAAGCAATTGTGAATATGCTGGGTGGTACACACAGGTGCTTATATTAGTTTCTGTAGTTTTTAATTTTAAAAATTAATGCTTGGAGTTATTTCTTTAAAAGAAATTAAGTAACGTGTCAAGCATTTGGAGTACCTACTATGTGCTTGGCACTGTTCCAGGCATCCGAGATATCTGCCCCCTTCTACTAGCCTCTTCCTTTCAGAAGTTACCAGGCTGGAGTACAGAAACAGCTGCTGGTTCCAGCTTGGCCACAGGCAAGTCGTTTTTCATCCCTGGGTCTCTTTCAGCTCTCACATCCGAGGATTCAATACTGCAACTGCAACTCAGCATTCCTTTTTCTTACCGAGGTGAGCGCCCCAACACAGGCCATTAGCATAAAATAACTCCGTTCGGGGAGTGTCCCTGAAGGGCTGACCTACTAAGAACGTTTTCCAAATGGTCCTTAATCTCTGCCTCCCACCCAACCCCCGCCCAGGATAACAGATGTTCCTCATGGGATTTCAAATTTGCAAGGGAATCTTGACAACTTCTTTGGTGATGGGCTATGTCGTAATTCCAGTCTAATCAACAGAAGCAACTTCCGTACTTTCAGCTTTAGGTGCTGTGGAGAGAACAGATAAAAACAAAAATTTCTGCCTTCATGCCGTATACACTCCAGTGAACGCAGACATCAAGGAAAAATAAGAACAATTCAAGGAAGACACAATGCGTCAGTATGGGGCAGGGGAACGCAAGGTAATGAAACCCTAGTCCTTTGACGCCTACAAAACCTAATCCCGAATCCCTAAATTCTTCCGGGTCACTGTCGGGTTACCCTCCTCCTCCCCCTCCGCCCACGGCCCCACCTTCGGGTCCTGGCCACGCCCACGCCCCTGACGTCAGTTTTTCAAGCCCTGCCGCGTTGACCTGGCCTATGGAAAGCCGCAGGCCCGCTCGAGCCCCATTAAACCCCGCCTCGTGAGTCGACGCGTGGCGACGGCGATGGGGCCGTGGGGCTGCGTGGCGCTGCGGCTCGGGGCGGTGCTGTGGCGCCGGGCCTTCTCCCCGGGAGCGTGGCCCGCGGCGGCCGCGGGGCTCCGGCTTCGGCTGCTGTCCGTGGGGCGGCTTCCGGTGGGTCCCACGCTCAGGAATGTCTGCCCGGCCCCCGACCGAGCGCGCGGCCTGCACGGCGGGCCGGGCCTGGAGGAGCGGGCGGAGGGAACTGCCGGCGAGGGGCGCCCGGAGTCAGGCACCGGAGGTACGGACGAGGAGGAGGGAGCCGGGTCCCAGCTAAAGAGGCTGAGTTCCTCTCTTTTTGCATTTTTCATGGGGGGTCACAAAATTCCTAGAGCAGAACTGGAAGGGACTGCAAAGTTTGTCGGCACCAACTTTGCATTTCACAGTGAGATCAAGAGATGGACTGAAGTCTCCCAAACCCCAGGCGTCTGTCCGAACGGCCACGTCGGACCCCTGGCATCACAACCTCATCGTCCTCATCCCCCTTCACACTCTGTCTAGGGTTCCGAGAAATGGACTTGTCGAGAATGTTGGGGCTTGAGGATTCTGAGGAAGAGCCAGGGTCTCGGGGCTCAGAGGTGCGTAAGAAGCGCTCATAGGAGATGGGGCCAATTTAAGAGCCTCTAAGTATTGTAAGCTTTTAGAAACTTGAGAGGTGGTAAACAGATCACACCTGTGAAAGGATGAAGTATGAGAGGGAGAGGTTAGCCACTAGGGCCCTGGGAGTTCGCTTCAGAACTGAAGAGAGCTGTTAAGTCCACAGGCTTTTATACACCACAGTGAAGAGCTGAATATCTAAATCTCTAGAGGAAAAACAAAAACAAAAAACGGTATTTCACAGATAACAGTTGTTACATAACCCATCTGGCATTGTAAGAAAACGTCGAGAGTTCAAAATGAGAATTGCTGTTAAAATTGTAACCCTCCGATTGGTGGATTTGGGGCCACACACTTACTGAGCTAGTTCTCAGTTTCTCTCTCAAATGAAGGTTGTGGACAGATACTACCCAAGAGCCCTTCCAGTTCACAGTTCTAGTTCTTTGACGCCTTGTGGCTGGAATTCAATTTAATGTGCCCCAAGATATTACCATCTCCCCAAATTGTGCTCCAGTTTTCCTCCCCTTTTAAAAATTATTATTATTAACCATTATTATTATTATTATTATTATTATTATTATTTTTGGCTGTGTTGGGTCTTTGTTGCTCTGCATGGGCTTTCTCTAGTTGCAGAGAGCGGGGGCTGCTCTTCGCTGTGGTGCGTGGCCTTCTCACTGCGGTGGCCTCCCCTGTTGCAGAGCACAGGCTCTAGGCGCACGGCCCTCAGTAGCCGTGCCACGCGGGCCCAGCAGCCGTGGCGCGCAGGCTCAGCAGTTGTGGTGCAGGGGCTTAGTTGCTCCGCAGCATGTGGGATCTTCCCGGACCAGGGCTCGAACCCGTGTCCCCTGCATTGGCAGGTGGATTCTTAACCACTGCGCCACCAGGGAATTCCCGTTTTCCTCTCTTTGATTTTTTTTTTTTTTTTGCGGTACGCGGGCCTCTCACTGCCGTGGCCTCTCCCGTTGCGGAGCACAGGCTCCGGACACGCAGGCTCAGTGGCCATGGCCCACGGGCCCAGCCTCTCCGCGGCATGCGGGATCTTCCCGGACAGGGGCACGAACCCGTGTCCCCTGCATTGGCAGGCGGACTCTCAACCACTACGCCACCAGGGTAGCCCTCTTCTCTTTGAATAGCAGTTCTCTCCTTGAGCTGTGTTACTCATTTCCTCAGGTACTAGAACAGAAAGCCATCGCTGCTGATGTCTGGTTCTACTTGCATGTGCTAATAGGAAAGGATGTGCGTGGTGGCTGTCTGTGGCCTGCGCACCCTTCCCATAAGTTGAGCAGTGCTGTATGAAACCAGTGCCCAGCTTCAACTTCCAGGAGGCCTAAACACCTTCATGGAGGAGTGGTTTCACTGTCAGCTGCCCGCATCTCTGGGTGCATATCGTGTCTGTCTGTACTTGGCCACCTGACAAAAGCAAATCTTCGTGCATTTCAGATCATACTGGTCCCAAGTTTGACATCGATATGCTGGTTTCACTTCTGAGGCAAGAAAATGCAAGAGATATTTGTGTCATCAAGGTTCCTCCAGAAATGAAATATACAGATTACTTTGTAATTGGTAGTGGAACTTCTACTCGACACTTACATGCCATGGCCTACTACATTGTGAAAATGGTAGGATGCTTTCTTTTTTTTGGGAACCTTTTACTTAATGGAATAGTGTCAATGCATCAGGCGGAAGAGCAACATTTAAAAACTAAACCCTAAGATTATATAAGAAGCCCAGATTTTTAGAATTTGCGTGAGTGTTTTATGTTCTTTGATATTGAAAGTTATGGGGACCAATACCTAGCCTTAGTGGGTCAAGATATTTTACATTCTTGTCTCTTGTGACAAGAAAAATAATACAAAAAAAAAAATTACCTAGAAGACAGTATAACCCAGAGGGATTTCTAGAGCAAAACTGTCCAGTGTGATACCCACTAGCCTCATATGCCTATGTAATTATAAAATAAAACTAAAAGTTCAGTTCTTCAGTTGTACTAGCCACATTTCAGGTGCTTGGTGGCCACATGTGGCTAATGGCTACCATACTGGACACAAATATAAAACATTTCCATAGTTGCAGAAACTTCTATTGGATAGTGCTGGCCTAGAGTTTAATTCAGATGTTTGAGCATGTCCAGTGTTCCCAGGCACGGTGCTGGGTATTGGGAGGACAAAAATGAAAAAGATTTAGTTCTTACCCTCCAAATTCACAGGTCTAGTTGAGGAAAGAGAAGGAAGTTCATTTTCCAACTAGACTGAATAGGAATCAGAATGAGGAAGAAAGTGTACTTGGAAGCTGATTCTGATACCACTCTAGAGGGGAACATACTTCTTTCACCCTGTTGAAAATTGGTCAGAGAGGGAACAGTTAAGACCAAAAGAACAGCTGGGATTGCCTAGAGAAGGGTGGTAAAATAAGGGGACTGAGAACAAAACCCTGGTGCAACATGGCAGAACAAAGGAAGATTCAAAAAGAGGGGGTAGTTGGAGAGACTAAGAGAACTAGAGGGGGCATGGAGAAGTTAAAAGGCAGGATCCTAGGGTCTCTGTCAGATGTAATAGTAAGACAGAGTAAGTAAGACTTAGAAGTGACCATTGGACTTGGAGATATAAAAAGAATGAGAGATTTTTCAGAGAAAGTGTCTGTGGAAGAGCAAGGGAGGGGAATAGAAATTCCTTTTGCAAAAATTTTAGATGAGGGAGAAAAATGCAAGGTCAAGAAAGTTTTGTTCTTGTTTGTGGTAAAATATACGTTACAAAACTGAACATTTTAGCCATTTTTAGGTGTATAGTTAAGTGATGTTAATTACATTCACATTGTTGTGCAACCATTACCACTATCCATCTCCAGAACGTTTTTCTTTTTTCATCTTGCAAAAAACTCTGTACACATTAAACAATAACTTCCCATTCTTCCTTCCCCCAGCCTCTGGCATCCACCATACTGCTTCCTGTCTCTGTGAATTTGACTACACTAATAAGTACCTCCTTGAGTGGAATCATACTCTGATTTTCCTTTTGTGACTGGCTTATTTCACTTAGCATAATATTTTTCAAGGTTCATCTGTGTTGTAGCATGTGTCAGAATTTCCTTCTTTTAGGACTGATTATTTTTATGTATGTATATACCACATTTTATCTTATTCACCCATTGGTGGGCATTTGGGTTGCTTCCACCTTTTGACTATTGTGAATAATGCTGCTATAAACATGAGTGTAGAAATATCTGTTCAGATCCCTGCTTTTAATTTCATAAGTGGAATTGCCAGATCATGGTAATTCTGTGTTTAATTTTTTGAGGAACCATCACACTTTTACACAGTAGTTGCACCACTTTACATTCCCACCAGCAGTGCACAAGGGTTCCAATTTCTCTACGTCCTCACCAGTTGTTATTTTCTGGTTTGTTGATAATATTGATAGTAATCCTAATGAGAGTGAAGTGATACCTTGTTGTGGTTTTGATTTGCATTTCCCTAAATTAATGATGTTGAGCATCTTTTCTCATGGTTATTAGCCATTTGTGTATATTTGGAGAAATGCCTATTCAGGTCCTTTGCCCATGTTTTAATCGAGTTTGGTTTTTTATTGTGAAGTTGTAGGAGTTATCTGTATATTCTGGATATAAATCCCATATCATCTATGTGATTTGCAAATATTTTCTCCCATTCTGTAGGTTGCCTTCTTACTCTGTTCATTGTGTCCTTTAATGCACCAGAGTTTTAAATTTTTCTGCTGTTGCCTTTGGTCTCATACCCAAGAAATCATCGCCAAATCCAATGTCATGTAGCTTTTCTACTGTGTTTTGTTTTTCTTTTTTTTTTGGATTACTTTTATGTTTTTATTTTTATTTTTTTGAATTTTAGAATTTTATTTTTTTATACAGCAGGTTCTTATTAGTTATCCATTTTATACGTATTAGTGTATATATGTCAAACCCAATCTCCCAATTCATCACACCACCACCCGCCCCCCGCCACTTCCCCCCCTTGGTGTCCATACGTTTGTTCTCTACATCTTTGTCTCTATTTCTGCCCTGCAAACCAGTTCATCTGTACCATTTTTCTAGATTCCACATATATGCATTAATATACAATATTTGTTTTTCTCTTTCTGACTTACTTCACTCTGTATGACAGTCTCTGGATCCGTCCACGTCTCTACAAATGACCCAATTTCGTTCCTGTTTATGGCTGAGTAATATTCCATTGTGTATATGTACCACATCTTCTTTATGCATTTGTCTGTCGATGAGCATTTAGGTTGCTTCCATGTCCTGACTATTATTAGTAGTGCTGTAATGAACATTGGGGTGCATGTGTCTTTTTGAATTATGTTTTTCTCTGGGTATATGCCCAGTAGTGGGATTGCTGGGTCCTATGGTAATTCTATTTTTAGTTTTTAAGGAACCTCCATACTGTTCTCCATAGTGGCTGTATCAATTTACATTCCCACCAACACTGCAGGTGGGTTCCCTTTTCTCCACACCCTCTCCAGCATTTGTTGTTTGTAGATTTTCTGATAATGCCCATTATAACCAATGTGAGGTGATACCTCATTGTAGTTTTGATTTGCATTTCTCTAATAATTAGTGATGTTTAACATCTTTTCATGTGCTTCTTGGCCATCTGTATGTCTTCTTTGGAGAAATGTCTATTTAGGTCTTCTGCCCATTTTTGGATTGGGTTGTTTGTATTTTTAATATTGAACTGCATGAGCTGTTTGTATATTTTGGAGATAAATCCTTTCTCCGTTGATTCGTTTGCAAATATTTTTTCCCATTCTGAGGGTTGTCTTTTCATCTTGCTTGTAGTTTCCTTTGCTTTGCAAAAGCTTTTAAGTTTCATTAAGTCCTGTTTGTTTATTTTTGTTTTTATTTCCATTACTTTAGGAGGTGGATCGGAAAAGATCTTGCTGTGATTTATGTCAAAGAGCGTTCTTCCTGTGTTTTCCTCCAAGAGTTTTATAGTGTCTGGTCTTACATTTAGGTCTCTAATCCATTTTGAGTTTATTTTTGTGTATGGTGTTAGGGAGTGTTCTACTTTCATTCTTTTACATGTAGCTGTCCAGTTTTCCCAGCACCACTTATTGAAGAGACTGCCTTTTCTCCGTTGTATATCCTTGCCTCCTTTGTCATAGATTAGTTGACCATAGGTGCGTGGCTTTATCTCTGGGCTTTCTATTCTGTTCCATTGATCTATATTTTTGTTTTTGTGCCAGTACCATGTGGTCTTGATTACTGTAGCTTTGTAGTATAGTCTGAAGGGAGTCTGATTCCTTCAGCTCCATTTTTTCCCCTCAAGACTGATTGCTTTGGCTATTGGGAGTCTTTTGTGTCTCCATACAGATTTTAAGATTTCTTGTTCTGGTTCTGTAAAAAATGCCATTGGTAATTTGATAGGGGTTGCATTGAATGTGTAGATTGCTTTGAGTAGTATAGTGATTTTCACAATATTGATTCTTCCAACCCAAGAACATGGTATATCTCTCCATCTGTTTGTATCATCTTAATTTCTTTCATCAGTGTCTTATAGTTTTCTGCATACAGGTGTTTTGTCTCCCTAGTTAGGTTTATTCCGAGCTATTTTTTTCTTTTTCTTGCAGTGGTAGATGGGAGTGTTTCCTTAATTTCTCTTTCAGGTTTTTCATCATTAGTGTGTAGGAATGCAAGAGATTTCTGTGCATTAATTTTGTATCCTGCAACTTTACCAAATTCATTGTTTAGCTCTAGTAGTTTTCTGGTGGCATCTTTAGGATTCTCTCTGTATAGTATCATGTCTTCTGCAGTGACAGTTTTACTTCTTTTCCAATTTGTATTCCTTTTATGTCTTTTTCTTCTTTGATTGCTGTGGCTAGGACTTCCAAAACTATGTTGAATAATAGTGGTGAGAGTGGACATCCTTGTCTCGTTCCTGATCTTAGAGGAAATGCTTTCAGTTTTTCACCATTGAGAATGATGTTTGCTCTGGGTTTGTCATATATGGCCTTTATTATGTTGAGGTAGGTTCCCCCTGTGCCCACTTTCTGGAGAGTTTTTATCATAAATGGGTGTTCAGTTTTGTCAAAAGCTTTTTCTGCATCTATTGTGATGATCATATGGTTTTTATTCTTCAGTTTGTTAATATGGTATATCACATTGATTTGCGTATATTGAAGAATCCTTGCATCCCTGGGATAAATCCCGCTTGATCATGGTGTATGATCCTAGTGTTGTTGGATTCTGTTTGCTAGTATTTTGTTGAGGATTTTTGCGTCTATATTCATCAGTGATACTGGTCTGTAATTTTCCTTTTTTGTAGTAACTTTGTCTGGTTTTGGTATCAGGGTGATGGTGGCCTCATAGAATGAGTTTGGAAGTGTTCCTTCCTCTGCAATTTTTTGGAAGAGTTCGAGAAGGATGGGTGTTAGGTCTTCTCTAAATGTTTGATAGAATTCAAACATTCTGTGAAGCCACCTGGTCCTGGACTTTAGTTTGTTGGAAGATTTTTAATCACAGTTTCAATTTCATTACTTGTGATTGGTCTGTTCTTATTTTCTATTTCTTCCTAGTTCACTCTTGGAAGGTTATACCTTTCTAAGAATTTGTCCATTTCTTCCAGGTTGTCCAATTTATTGGCATAGAGTTG